ACCGTATTTAAAAACAGTTACCGTATTTAAAAACAGTTACCGTATTTTCCAGATTATATGTCGTTTCGGCGTATAGATCGCATCAGTCAAAAAATCCCTCATGAAGAGGAGAAAAACCATATATAAGTCACTTCGGAGTACAAGCCACATTTATTTAGAAGTTTATTTCACAAAGTGCAAGAACAGACATTCAGTATGAAATAACAAAAACACAGAACATACCAGGGGATCCTGAACAGGCTTAATTAACATGACAAGCTGGTAGCATAAGAGGAACAACATAGTTGTCAAAAGCCTAGAGGGCCCTCTTGCTGCTGCAAATGTTAATGTTTACTCTTTGGTTCATGTCAGTATGAATGAACATTTAACGCATTAGTCAAATAACATGTCATGAAAAGGGAAAAATCGTATATGAGTCACTTCGGACTATACATTGCAGGACTGGCCAAACTATGAACAAAGTGCAGCTTCAAGTCTAGAAAATACGTTAGTTTATGATCCAGTGTTCATTTTTTTGTGTGAGTTCACTCTCTGTGGAGACCCCCCATCGAAGGCGCAGCCAAAACAAAGGAAACGATGAAGCGTAATTTTTTTTGCTTCCTGAAAGGGATTTCTGACTAGCTGTAACTATAGACCTTATTTAATGAACAATTGCTTTAATACTATTGACAAATGGACGTCGCCATTTTATTTAAGTGACAATGCATTCTGGGTAAATAAAGTAGACAGGTTGCTCCTGTGCAAGCTCCATTCAGCTTGAATGTTAATTTTGGACATGATCTGATGTTCAACACTTTAATTTGATCCAGAGCGTGTTGATAAAAAGGAGAACAAATTGATAACTTAGCTTTCATGTTAGCTCTTGAGCTATTATGAGATAAGAGAACTTTATTGATATACATGACGTTAGTGCTAGAGTTTCCACGTGTTACCACAATGTTTGGTAGAATAGAGAAATATCAACATATTGAGGTCAACGTGCAGGTAGTCGGAGATCTCTTTAATGAACTGGAACGTCAAATAAGGAAACTTTGGGAGGAAAGAGATTCTGCTCAAGAGATGAGACAAGATACCAGGCTGAAGAACTGAGAATTTAATATTTTAAGAAAATGCTTTTTCTACAAACTCATCAGACTTCCATTAGAGGGTGGGGGTTTGGAAGGCGGGGCACTCGGTTTTGTTGACAGGGCGGGGCATCCTCCATGGATTATGGTAGGGGAACACTGGATACCTAACTAAACTAAAAAACTAAACGTTACACCTTCTTTTAAATCCAAGATGGCCACGCTCAGCCGAGTCGCAGCTTCACAGGCTCCTGGTGAACTCTAATCTTTTTTTGTTCCTGTTGTTACTGTTATAACCTTTTTTTTGTTTGCGCCTACAATGCACTTCCACGGTACGGGTATGACCTCGACACACCTGTGGAGTTTTCTGTGTTGCTGCCTTGCCATCAGGCCATCGTGGTTCAGTCCTTCCAGCCTCGGGCTCAGGCCTGTCATGGCTGCTGTCTCCATGATCCTCCATCTGCCTGCACGGACCGAATTCTACGGACCTGTTCTCTTCTGCGGGGAAACCTGGATGTTCTCTGTTTGCGGGACCTGGTTCTGGAGGGCTGTCTGGGAGGGCAGCTGCTGTGGTCATTGTTACCATCGAGCTGGTGACTGGACCTGCTAACCTGCTAATGCTGCTAACAAGATCCTCCAGCTGCCTGATTGGACAAAACTCTGTGGACCCACCTGGTTCCGTGGGGGAACCTTGGATGTTCTCTGCCTGCTGAACCCGATTCTGGAGGGCAGTCTGGGAGGCAGCTGCTGCGGTCCTTATTATCATCATTCTGCTGAAGGAACCTGCTAACACTGCTAACAACACCACGCTGCTAACGGGACCATGTTGCTAAGATAACTTCAATGTCATCAGAACCGCTCTGCCAGTAGGACCATGCTGCTGAAGATTGATTTATTTTTCACTTTTGGCGCCTTGTTTCTGTATTTTTGTTGCATGCTTTGACTAAATCCTAGTTTCTGTTCATTTATTTTATGTTAGTGCTCGCATTAAGCGTGTAAATTATAGCCGAACAGAACCTATGAGAATCATGCTGCTGTTTGGTGTATTGTTTTGCACTATTAGGGTCTGGCTTATATCTTAGATATTTTAGCGTACCGTTTGGTGTTCGTTTAGCGTAGATCTTACTTTATATTTTAGATCCTTATTTAACGTTTTTTTTTTACACTTTATATTTTTGCTATTGTTTGATGTAACTGGGACCATGTGTACACAATTTTGTTCCACTACATGTACCACATGTCAGAGTCAGAGTCAGAGTTTCTTTATTGTCATTCGCACCTCATGTGGTACATGTGGTGGAGCGAAATTATGTACACAGGGTCCCAGTTACATCCAACAATAAAATGTATAAGAAAAACAGTAATAACATCTAAGATATGAACTAAGAAAAACATCAACTAAATATACACTAAGCACTCATAACATAAAACATTGAACATCAGCACAAACATGAACATGAGTCTGTGAGCAGATGTGCACGCATGAACACATCAACATTGAAACAGATCAGCAGCAACATGAAACAGATCAGCAGCAACATGATATGGTTTTTCACAGTGATTATTCTAGTTAGAGATTCATGAGTCTAACAGCCTCAGGGTAGAAGCTGTTCCTCAGTCTAGTGGTTCTACACTTAATGCTCCTTAACCTCCTTCCTGAGGGGAGTGGGGCAAAAAGTGTGTGTGCTGGGTGGGTGGGGTCCTTCATGATGCAGGTGGCCCTCTTCCTGCATCTGGAGGTGTAGATGTCTGTGATGGTGGGGAGACTGATTCCAACAGATTTCTGTGCAGCCTTCACCACTCTCTGCAAAGCTTTTCTTTCTGCAGCTGTGCAGCCTCCATGCCACACATTTTATGTTATGAGTGCTTAGTGTATATTTAGTTGATGTTTTTCTTAGTTCATATCTTAGATGTTATTACTGTTTTTCTTATACATTTTATTGTTGGATGTAACTGGGACCCTGCGTACATAATTTCGCTCCACCACATGTACCACATGAGGTGCGAATGACAATAAAGAAACTCTGACTCTGACTCTGATGCTCGAGCACAGGATGCTCTCCACTGCACACCTGTAGAAGGAGGTGAGGACTGAGTTTCCCAGACCAGCTCGCCTCAGCCGTCTGAGGAAGTAGAGTCTCTGATGAGCTTTCTTGATCAGGCTGGTGGTGTTGTTGCTCCAGCTGAGGTTGTCATTCATGTGTACACCCAAGTACTTGTAGCTGGAGACCACTTCCACCGCAGATCCTCTTATGTTCAGGGGGGTGTAGGTGTTTTTGTTCCTTCTGAAGTCCACAATCATCTCCTTTGTCTTCTTCACATTGATGTGAAGGTTATTCTCTCTGCACCAGCTCTCCAGGTGTTCCACCTCCTGCCTGTAGCTGGACTCATCATTGTTTGTGATGCATCCCACCACCGCTGTATCATCTGCAAACTTTACAATGTGACAGCCTGGATGGGTAGCTGCACAATCATATGTGAGCAGAGTAAACAGGAGGGGGCTCAACACACATCCCTGAGGAGAGCCAGTGCTGAGGGTTATGGTGGAGGAGGAGAGGTTGTGGATCCTCACTAACTGTGGTCTGTTTGTTAAAAAGTCTAGTACCCAGTTGCAGATGGAGGGGCTTAGTCCTAGTGTGGATAGTTTGTCCATCAGGGTTTGGGGGATCATGGTGTTGAAGGCGGATGTGAAGTCTACAAAGAGCATACGGACGTAAGAGTTTTTCTGCTCCAGGTGGTTGAGTGCAGTGTGGACCACAGAGGAGATTGCATCCTCTGTTGATCGGTTCTCACGGTAT